ATGCTTAAAAAAATTTGTTAGTCTCTAAGGTGCCACAAGCAAAGGCGTAGTCAGGTGGAGGGAAGAGGGGGAGCGGGAAAAAAAAGCCCCCACCCGCTGCAGCGCTTTTACTGACGGGGCAGCGCTCCAGGTCTTCGGCGGCATTTCGGCGATGAAGCTTCAGTACCGCTGAAGACACCTGGAGCAAGTGAAGGTCCCGCCGCCGAAGTGCCACCGAAGACCCGGAGCGCTGCCCCGTCAGTAAAAGCGCTGCAGCGGGTGACGCCTTTTTTTTTTCCTGCTCCTGGGTAAGTAAAATTAAAAAGGTGCCACTTGTGCTCAGTGGGGGAGCGGCCGCTGCCCCGCTCCCTCCCAACTATGCTACTGGCCACAAGTACTCCTCGTTCTTTTTGCTGATACAGACTAACACGGCTACCACTCTCAAACCTAGCTAATTTATATTCACTCTGGCCCTGTGAAACAGATAAGTATCATCATTTCCATTGTACAGATGAGGAAATAGGCAGAGATTTAAGACACTTCAAAGGTTGCTGCGGGTGCTTGACATTTCTGAAAACCAGGCTCTCATTGACTTGCTGAAGTTAACACAAGTCAGTGGCAGAGGTGGCATAAGAACTGAGGAATTTCTGTTCATTTCTCTAGACCACACTGTATAGGCGGCCAACAGGAAATGACTGCTGGCACAGTGGTGGTGCCTGTGACTTCGGCATTTTGAAGAGGTTGGTGGAAAACTGGAAATGTCATCACTCCCACCAAGTGAAAAATGGACAGTTCCACTGTGGTTGTGGAAGAACTGAGGTGAGGTTAGACTTTAGGTTACTGCTCCTTATGTAGCTTTGGAACTAAATATTTAATTCTTCTTCGAGTGCTGGTCCCTATGTGTATTCCACTCATGGGTCTGTGCCATGTAAAGCTTAGCTTGTAGTTTGTAACCTTTTTGGCAACACACTATACTCACGAGTTGAACTGAGCTTTTTATTTCTACATAAGGTGCAGGACTGAACAAATTCTTTATAATTCCCAAGTTTAAACCAATCTCCGTTTCCCCTATTGCACCTCCATCTGAGACCTGCAAACAAGTGATATAGGTAAAATATTACACTGCAAACAACATTTCCACACAAACATGTTTTTGGAGCTATGAAACCACTATACCTTTGCTTTGTTCTTTTAATCCTGCTCTACGTGATTTATAATTTTTAGTCTTGTGTTCCAGAAATTCATCACTGTGTGACTCATGAAAGGAATCACAGAATGAGATGTCTTCTGAATCACTGCCTAAAAGAAATTGTATCAAAGAGGTCTTACATAAATATTACAGCTCATAAGCTGGGTGCTGTAGCTTTATATCTAGGTACCCACATAGCTTCCAACACTCTAGGATATGAGTGTCACACAAACATGAATGAATTTCTCCTCACAACATCCCTGTGATGGAGCGAAGTATCATCTCCATTTTACAGATGGGGACCTAAGGCACAGAGAGATGCACTGACTTGCACAAAGTCATATGTGTCGAAGCTAAGAACTGAACTCGAATCTCATCAGTGTCAGGCCTGTGCCTTTACACAAGACAAGCTTCCCGTCCTAAGATAGGTTGTCCCACTGAGGTCTGACTCAGTAATTTTTTTCCTTAAAATTGCTGAAGGTTGACCTGCCTCTCCAGAACCAGTGGAAACCCAGGGGACCATAAAGGAGAGTGGAGGAGAGAGTATTGAGCGTGGCACTCATATAACACCTTGTGCTAGTTCAGGGGTCGGCGACCTTTCAGAAGTGGTGTGCTGAGTCTTCATTTATTCACTCTAATTTAAGGTTTTGCGTGCCAGTAATACATTTTAATGTTTTTAGGTCTCTTTCTATAAGTCTATAATATATAACTAAACTATTGTTATATGTAAAGTAAATAAGGTTTTTAAAATGTTTAAGATGTTTCATTTAAAATTAAATTAAAATGCAGAGCCCCCCAGACCAGTGGCCACGACCCGGGCAGTGTGATTGCCACTGAAATTCAGCTCGCGTGCTGCTTTTGGCACACCTGCCATAGGTTGCCTACCCCTGTACTAGCTGATCCATATAACAGCACTGGTAATAGAGTTAAAGTATTAGTTATCAATATGTATCTAAATGGAAAGGCATCACAGAGAAAAGAGGGGCAAAAGGTATCCCAGAATTCAGGTGGGACAAGCCCACATGTTCTGATCTGAAATCAAATCCAGAAACAGCTCATGCCTTCCAATTCACACATGGAGTACGCTCACCTTCACAGTACCATCCTCGACCCAGGACAGTGCAGTGGGAGGGTGTGGAGTCAGGGTTGGCTGGAAGAAAGACTGCCTATTGTCCTTCCTCTGCCCCCAGAGAAGTTAACTGAACTTCTGAGGGAGCTGGGAGCTGCCCTACCCAATGGGGCACGGGACATCCTTGGCAGTGAGACTCCAATGGAACACTGCTGTTAAGGAGTTGGGGAGGGCGCAAGGGTTGTAAGAAGGATCCATAAGGTTTAAGACGGCATTTCCACCCTCCTTCCCATCAGCAGAATGATGGGGAATAATCTCAACAAGGGATGCTGGGCAGAGATTTTCTCATAAAAATCCTCACTCTTTTTCATGGGGGAGGAAATAATCTGGCCCAGAAATTTTGAAACACTTTAGGGGCCAAGTTTTCAAACTATCCTCAGAGATATGCTGAAATTGGGAGTGCACTAGTTAGCATATACAAAAACCTGCACATGCATGAGCAAAATGGAATTTTGTACACACCAGTGCCCTTCTACACATGGAAGTGTCATGGGTGCTTTTTTGAAAGCCTGTTTGAAAATGGGGTCCTTGTAGCCTAGCCAGTAAAGTTTGGTAAAAGTCCATTAAGATCTTCATACTCTGAAGGTCTTGTGAGATGACATCAAATTACTATAAGGACTCAACAGTAGTTAAATATACAGTTCTGGCCACTGTATGCAATCTCTACTTACATAGGTTAGTACCTGACAAATCTAGCTCCACTGCTTTTTCCTGAATGAAGACTGAATACCTTCCACATTTTGACTTTTCACTATCAGTTTTTCTGTCCTCTGTCTTTTTATTTCTACATGTTAAAAACAAAAATAGTACAAGATCTGAATTAAATGTTAACTGTATGAAAAGTTTTTGAGCATTAATACCTATGGTATTAATATTGCCAAATTATTAATTCAGGAAAAACAGATTTATTCATCATATGAACTATATCCATACTAAATGGTCTAATCTTGGGAAAATATCACATTACACCTTGAATTATAGTATGGATCATGGCATTGAAACCCAGATTCAGCAGAGCAGTTAAACACGTGTTTAAAGTTAAGCATGTGAGTAACCCCACCTCTATTCAGCAAAGCACTTAAGAAATCTTAGGTGTGTGCATTGTATACATGTGCACACATGAACACAGACAGGCACAATGGTTAGAAGGACACAATTACTCTAATAACACCCTCCGGAATACTTTTGAAGTTTGTTAATGTTTTGATTTGTTTTGGAGCTTAGAGCGATAGTCAGCACATGCTCACCTATTGACAGAACAGGAACAAAGTTCTTTGTTTGCATTTTTTGACCAGTGTATTTTCCATTTGGGATATAGAGCAGCTTCATGTGCATTTGAACAGTTTTCTACCCTTTCACAAAAACAATGATCTGAGGGATGTGCTAAATTGCCTAAAATGATCCGGGGAAAAAAGAAAGAATTGGATAGTGGGTGAGTTTTACCAGAGTTATGAAATTATACAAATTATTGAATAAAATGGAATAAAATTATTGAAACGACACAAATTATTAAATAAAAGCATTTTCCTCTTTCTCCTACCTTGCTCTTGCTGCACATTTAGATTAATAATTTTGTGTTCCAAATTGCACATATTGTAAGACTTGGTTTTGGGTGGAGATTTCATTTGCCAAAAGTTTAAACTCCTGAATAAACAAGACAGCATACAGAAGTACTAATATGATAAAAGTAAGTAAAACAACCAAACTTAATGCTGAAGGTCTACACAAATGTGTCTTTTTTACTTGTGCTTCTCACTGTTCAGGCAAGGCCCTTTTTTAATCTGGATGTTGGATTTTGTCTCCAATATTTTTAATATAATTGTAGAACTAATTTATTACTTAACTTTTAGTTACCATGGGTGAAATTCACTTCCATGCAGAAGGCCAACATAAGACCTATGCTCTACTTAAGCCCTCAAAATAATGTTTAAGTGGAACTTAAGTGATGTAATAGGCCTTGTGCTAGTCCTCTGGATAGGGTTGGATTTCACTGAGTGAAATGCTGTCACTGAAGTCACAGGAAGTTTTGCTATTTTTTAGTAGGGTCAAGATTTCATCCTGTGTGATTTATTGCCTGTGTAAAATGTAGAAACACAATAATTGTTTCCAACCAGATCTTCCCATGTTCAAAGACAACCAGCTTTACTTTGAATTGAGCCTACCACTATGCATTAAATTTCAGAGTCCAACAGCAAAACTTGTATCCATGAATGCATACACTCATTTTGGCCGTTTACAAATATTTTTAATCAGCCAAAATACATAAAGCACTTACCCTTTTGGGTTTTCTTGATTAGTGTTACGTTTTTGACTTAATATAAGCTGCCTTTGGGATTCCAGGCCTCCAGGCCCATTGTCTGCCACAGGTGCAAGGAAGCACTGCTGTACCACAAACCAGAACATAAGATTTTTATACACTTATTCACATTATTGTGTATTTCTCAAGAAATATAATGTGAGTAACACATATATTTGGATATAATTTTTCCATGGCTTTAGCAATGCTTTTTCTTGCTTTATTATCCACTTACAATTCTAGGCTATATTAAATGGACTGCACAGAGTCTGCACATTATCCCCATTCTATAGTGAGACACAAAGGTGAAATGACTTTGTTAGTGTAGGTTTCAGTGGATCTGGCAAGGATTCATGTTTTTTTCCTTGCAGCCCTAAACAAGCACAAATTATACTATTTAAAATCCAATAGTTGCCTATGCAACTTCTTCCAGAACAGTTCCCCTCAGAATCAAAGCACAGTATGAATGCTTCACAAGTTTTGACAGCAACATTCCTAAACCTGAATCATCTTACTTGGCATTTGTACAGCAATGTTCTGAGATACTGTAGTACCTCAACAATGACAACAGTTGAGTTGGCTTGTTGTGCAAACTTAACATTGGGACAGTAGAATATAATCTAATATAAATTATCCCATTGGATAAAATAAACAAACAAGTTCATCCAAAAAATTTAATTATGCAGGAAAATAGACCTTGTACCATTACATCTGAAGAGTGTTTATTTGCTAGCAGTTCTGCTTTTTCCAGGGGCTCCATTCCTTTTACATAGGCAGATGCATCTCTTTTTTGTAATCCCAATTGGCTAAGGGAAAAGCAATTTTTATTTTAAAATACTGTTTTTTCAAACATATTAAAAACACTGTTTTTTAGCAAGATTATCATCATATGATTCTCCATCAGGGCTGGATTCAACAAAGATACAACACACAGAAATATACTAATACTCTGCTGAGTCACTAAAGAATGGAATAGGTAGTGATTTTGGATATTGACATACCTTCAACCTGTTTAAAAAAAAACTACTGAAGGGAAAAATTATGCACTGGCAGGATTGTTGGATCAGGTCCCCCAATATTTCTTTTTCATCTTGAATATCTATGGTGACAATCGAGGCCATGCAGTGGCATGATCTAACACTCAGTTAAATTACCAGTAATGATATTCTTTTGACTTCAGTGGACATTTGATCAGATACGTTCAATAAATGTCTTCATACTTAGTAAGTAATTATAAATCCATTTTAGTAAATGACTTCAATACCTATCAGAAAGTTCAACACTTACAGTTTAGGAAAAAGATCACAATTGTCATCTTGTAAAGAAAGCTGACTGGTTTTCTTTGGGATCACATCGATTGCATGACTTCTATTCTCTCCCTCGTTCCTTTCATTATTATGAAAATTCACTTCAGTAGCAGACCTTTCTGGAGGATCACTAATGCTTGAAACCACAGGGCTCTGTACAAAGTAACCATATTATAGATAGCATAAAGACATTTACAATAGATTGTCATTTATTGTATTCCCTAAACTCTTGCCTCCTGCAATCCAAGATTTCCTGAATATCTATGCAATTCAGGACTCAAAGGAGGAATCATCAGAATTCATATGATATTTTCAAACAATTAGTACAGTTAGAAAGCATTTAGCTTGGTCACATGTAGTACAGTGGGAAACCACCAATTTCCACTTTGCAAGCTATGATCCAGGACTAAACGTTATAATTTTCACCATCTTTCTGTGACACAAAAGAATTTGATCCTTTGAGCCAAACTGAGATTTTTATGAATCTCACTGAAGCAGAAAGTTACCATTTTCATAGCTTTTCTCTATTAAATGGCAGTGATTCACTTGCAAAAACTGCTTTTAAATTTTTGCAAAGATTAGACTATTTTGCTTTTCTGAAAACAATTTTTTTCCCCCACTGAGACTGGGAATCTTTTCCCCCAACACAACTGCAATCACATATTTAGGTTTTGATCAACATGGCTAATGAGATATCTTAAAGTTTACATTCAGGAATAAAATACATTACTTTTTTGAATTAACATTCTGCACTGTAGCAAGATATTCACTCTTAGAAACATAAGAGCAAATTCTCTTCTTGGGTATACTTGCGCAACCCTACTGAAATTAATGGGGTTTGCATCAGTGTAACTGAACGAAGAGTTTGGTCTGTAGATTATAGAACTTGATGAGTTACCTCACGAAGATGAGAACAGGATGAACACACAGATTCACATGGCGTGAGCGAAGGAGATGTAGGAGATGTGAATGAAGATGGACATGGACTACATATATTGTCATCAATTTTCTCTTTGACATCTTCAAGCAGCATACCAAGCCTAAATATTTCCCCCTCCACCTTTCTAAAGCCAAATACAAAACACAGAGTTATATAATCAGCCTTTCAATAAACTTCTGGCTTTTTGTATATCACTGCAGTATCAAAGTTGCAGCACTGTCCAAAAATAAAACAATCCATTTCAAAATTAAATAGATTAAATTAAACCACAGTTAACTGCTTGAATCTATAAAAAGGGAAATAAGGACAACACGGGGAATTACAAACCAGTCAGCTTAACTTCAGTACCTGGAAATATAATAGAGCAAATAATTAAGCAATTTGCAAACACCTAGAAGATAATAAGGTGATAACTAACAGTCAGCATGGATTTGTCAAGAACAAATTGTGTCAAACCAACTTAATAACTTTTAACAGGACTTGTGGATATGGGGGAAGCGGTAGATGTGGTATATCTTGACTTTAGTAAGGCTTTTGATACCATCTCGCATGACTTTCTCATAAACCAATGGTTCCCAAATGATGGGGCACGCCCCTCGGGGGGGCAAAGAGGAATGTTGAGGGGGGTGCACTCCCCATGGGAAGCAGGGAGGGAGTGCACCCCAGCCCCACTCCACCCCCAGCTCTGCTCCTGGCCCTGGCCCCAGCCTCAGCCCCCTTGCCCCTGCCCATGTCTGTCCGTCCCCCGCTGGGAGCCACGGCCCCGCTCCCGGCCTGCTTCCCGGGGTGTGTGTGTGTGCGGACAGAGGTAAAGTGGGCATGACCCTGAAAAGGTTGGGGACAACTGTCATAAATAAACTAGGGAAATACATCCTAGATGGAGCTACTGTAAAGTGGGTGCATAACTGGTTCAAAAACCATTCCCAGAGTGTAGTTATCAGTGGTTCACAGTAAAGCTGGAAATGCATATTGAGTAGGGTCCCACAAGGATCAATTCTGGGTCTGATTCTGTTCAATATCTTCATCAACGATTTAGATAATGGCATAGAGAGTACACTTATAAAGTTTGCGGAGGATACCAGGCTGTGAGGGGTTGCAAGTACTTTAGATGATAGGATTAAAATTCTAAATGATCTGGACAAACTGGAGAAATGGTCTGAAGTAAATAGGATGAAATTCAATATGGATAAATGCAAAGTACTCCACTTAGGAAGGAACAATCAGTTGCATATATACAAAATGGGAAATGACTGCCC